AATTACGGCAACACAATTTTAAGACCCTTTTGCTGTGATTGTCGGTTATATGGTTGCTATTGCTCTTGTTATTGTGTGTATGAAGGTAGGCAGATATTGCATGTCTTGCATGTCTGTTTGACTTGTTCGCTGTTCACTCGTTAAACAAATCAGAGGCGCTAATAAAATTGTAAATAAGCGGCAAATGTTATAAGTGAATAAAATTTACCTTAAATCATAAACACACGTACATGTTTTTTTTTTGTGCAGATGTTTTATAGCAGTTGTTCCAAAGATCATCATGTATTTGCTTGTACGCCACCCACAGGTTTTTTTTTTATTCATTTATTTTTCAAATGTCCACTTTTCAGCGTTACGCGAATTTATACCGTTTTTAACAGTCATAAATTACAAACAGCTCACTCAAAAGAGAAATATACATAAAAGAAAAACAAACACGTGGGTGCAAGGTTTATAACGAAACGTAACTATTCCTGTTTAGAACTTGATAGCAACAGCGGATCATAAATGAGCCTTTAAATCGTAAAACTTCCCAATTAAAGTGTTTTCCAAAAAATAGGTAGTATTTTAAATTTTAGTGCTAATTCTTCACGGTCAACATAAAGCTGTCATTGCCTTCACATTTCAGAAGTAAAGTTCAGATGATTTTCAGATGCAGGTTTATATATATATACTCAGACAACGCACTGAAACGGTAAAAATTTATTATAAAAAAATTTTAAATGAAACAAGTAACAACACCAGAGTAGCCTACCATTAACTATCCTACGTTATTTCGTTCAATATAGTTTTCCATATAACGACTTTTCAAAGCAAACTCGTTATAGAGGGACTAATCGCAAAAGCGACCCGATTCAAATTATTTTCAATAACGGCCCTGACGCCAAAACATGTTGCTCTACCAAATATCATCAAGACATCAGAAAAATTGCGAGCAAAAGAAAAAAGAACGCACAGCCAAGCTTAGAATCACCTTCTGAATTGATCCTTATAACAAAGGTGTATCTGTCCTTCTGGGTGTTGCATACATCTTTACAAACTCAATATACCCTTGTACGGCAAGTGGTGTAGAATATAATTATTCACAATCAAGCCGAGAGATTTTTATTTGCGAGTAAAATTTCCACTTTTCGGGACTTGCAAAATCTAAAAAAAATAATCGAACCACTATGAATGACAGCTGCGCGCGAATTTTCGCGTATATTAATTAACGTTGCGGATTGTCAACCATTAAATTTTCGAAGTACTTTCGTGTCCATATGTATACGTAGGGTGGCTGAAACGTCTCCGACCTAAATATAAAAATGACAGCATTTACCAACAGAAGTTCAGGTACATAATTACATATGCGAAGTATTCATTAAAACTTCAGCCACGCTGGACGCGCACCTGTTGTTTGATAATCGTGGATGTGCGTAGTCTTATGACAATGGCAAAAATTGAGTATAAGTCTATCATCCAGTACTTGTTTTTGATAGACAGTGCAAGCTTGCGGCCGAATTAAGATCAACGAGGCGGCGGAGGCTATGAACGCGCTCGAGTTTCCCATATTAAATTAAAATCTACGCAAGAAAATGCCGATCGCACGTTGGTTGCCACCGTTGCCCACAGTCGAACAAAAATACCCGTTCACAAGTCGATAATTATAACGGCAATATTGTATACATGCAAGTTCTATTCGTTGCTGCGCCCACCTTATTTTCCAGATCTAACCTTCAACAGCTGACAATCCTGAAAAGAATGCTCTAGGGGAAACTATTTTGACAACATAACGAGATCATTGTGAAAATTTCTTAAGGATGTTGACAAGTCGCTGCACAAAAAAGATGTCTCTAAACAAGATAAGGGACGTTCCGTCCACTTAGATCAGAGACTTTCTAGAAAACTCCCTCATATATACAGCCTAAACAACGCTTCCACGCTTTTAACCGTGCATGGTGTTACAAAGCGAATCGTTTATTAAAAATGAATTCTTTGTTTTGAATCGCTAATAGGCACGAACTGTGAAATAATGTTTGGTACGCCCGTCGTGATCGCCGAATTATTATGCCCAAAAAATGTGCTTTCGTAAAAAACAGATTTGTTGAATTCCTCACCACTTAGTAACATACGACTTTGTGTAATCTGCCGTAATTCTCCCGTCTCTAACGCAGACATCATAACCATAAACTGAACAGCTTTTTCAATCCCGGCTGGGAAAGTGGGTGCTCGTTAAAATGGACCGACGACGACTGGGCAATTTGTTTTCGAACGCCGAGATGTCCTGAGCTATCATATTTTCGTCTTCCTGGGATATCAACTAAGTGCGACATTCTCGGAAACTAGAAGGTAAATTCGCGCTCTTTTGTTAAAAAAGGGATTACACATGGCGTAAGCTTTCGTCAATCTCGCGCTAGCTTTTACTAAGAGAAAACCTGCTACCATTCTTCTTCGCTTTGAATGGGAAATGAAGTCAGTTCCTGAAACCTTCTCTGAATTAGTCCTGACGTCAAGAGCAGCTATTGCTTCAGGAAACCATTTGTTCGGCCAACATACCGCACTTTACAGAATTGGCCAAAATTCCGATGAAACTGAGTCAACGAGTGATCTGCTCTGCTACTGTCCCTCTCTAGCGATAAGAACAGGTAATCTGCTAAATTAAATCTTTCCTAACATAACCTTAAACGTCCCAGTAGATTTAGAAAAAAAATGAGGATATCAGTCCACACCCAATCTATATTGTAAAGCAAACCTCACAATAATAACTACTTGTCCACTTTTGACCCAAAATGAAAAGTTATCAAGAGAGCGGATAACCTAATCTCATTTAAGATATTGTTTTAAATTAATATGCGTACTCCTAATAGGCATATATAGATTCTGTGTTAGCTCGAACAGTGATTTCTTTTTATGTCATTGAATTTATTTTCGCAGCAAATTTCCTGATGAATGGCTTATTTCTTGATTTACCTGTTGATTGATTTCGCGTGTCATAAATGTACTTTACATTACAATACAATGTTTACCGCATTTCGGACTGATGTTTTGTTTGTGCCCGTGCAATTTCCAATGAAGTTTATTAACCTTTTTAAATGATGAATTACATCTTTCAGCGGTGAATTTTTCTCTATTCTGTGAATACTTCTCATTAATCGCCAACTACATAAAGTGCCGGCGTGTTCAGCATTGAATATCTCTGCTGTCTGCAAACTCATTCTCAAAGCTTTGAAAAATTTTGCTTTCGAAAGTATTAGGCAGATTCTGCAGTTTCATTTTCAATTCGAAATCAATTCGAAATTCTATAAAGAGTTTATTATAACCACAAACGTTACCCCTTATACCGAAACTTTTCATGTACCCACACCTATAGGACTTTCTGGATAGTTAAGTTACTCAAACCTTACGACACCATTACTAAGTTTAGTTGATTATTTTTTCATTTCGCAATCAATTAATTTTTTTTTGCGTAAAGTATGAGGCGAATTGAAAATCGCCTCGGGGGCCTTAGTTTGTTGACTCCGTACTACGACATAAACGATAGTATTACAACACTTTATATTCACAGAGAATGAGAAGAGAGGAAAATTGCATTGAGAAAATGCGAAAAATTTATGGTTGACAGGTACTTCAGGCCTAAACTCTACAAATTGTTAGACTTAGTGCAGAGATCATGTTGTCTTTACCACGTTAACCGAAACGTGATTTAAATATTAGTCATATTAATGTATTAATATTATTTTTATATTTTTCTTTTCATTTTATTGGTCGTTTAATTGATATTTGTTTATGTTGTTTATGTTAGTTTTGCATTTGCTTTACACAGCAAATTCTTATTATTTTAATTTGAAAGCAAAGGAAAAAACACTAAACGCTTTGCGTGTCTAGGTTGTGAATGCGTGCAATTGTCTTGTCTTTGAGTAAAGAGCAAATAGCATGACAAGGCGGCTCGTTTTTCTTATGGTTCGTTGCAGTTATTATTATTTTTAAACCAAGACAAATATTGGCACATTGACACCCTCGTCTTCCAAGAACGAACTCACGTTTTCTGTTTGCACTGTTTGGGTTTTTTTTTTCTTTTTTTTTTTTTTTTTTTTTTTTAGAAAAAGTAGAAAAACCCAGCCAAACTTCATAGGTTGGCACTCATGTTTTCATTGAACATTTTTACGGCAATAACACAACTGGTGGTATTTTCTTGGTATTTCGTGTTAATGGTGGGTGGGTGATTGGCTGGTTGAATGATCGGATTGAGGTAAAGGAGTTTAAATGTTTGTATTCACATATTTCTCATAAATATCGTAATTGAATGACATTCTATATGAAAAATTGTATAAACAAAATTGCATTGACATAAATAACAGAAATAAATTAATTAGCAGTTGACAGAAGTAAAAAGCTTTGCCAGTAGTTAAGCAGGGCTTAGCTTGGACTAATTTAAAATTTTTCTTCAAGCCACGATTAAGGGTAGACTAACTAATGCATTTAAATATATATTGTTACACTAAAATAATTCTTTAGAGCAGATCAATAAATCTATCGAAGCGAAGGCGTTTTATTGAAAACGTTGTCACTCAAGCAGTTAATTATCGAAGAATCGAATTCTGAATCGATTTAAGCATGCCCGTCTGTCCGCCTAGGTGTCTGTCCGTCTGTGCAAGTGAAAATTAAGTCATCGCCCACACATTTGCAAAAAGAATTTAGAACTACTTAAACTTTCGCGGGGACACGTCTACATCGCTCCAAAGTCTATGCGACAAAAAATTCTATTTCGAAAACAGAAAAAATCAGCCGCGGCCATTCCATTTTAGAGAGCATGAAAATTTAGTTCTTTTACTTGTTTTTTTATAGATGAAAAGAGACCAGGGAAATAATAACATTGCTAAAACCATGACGTCGTTATGATGATCCGAACACGTAAGACAACCGTTTTTACTGATGTTAAGGGAATCCCCTTAGCAGCTGAATTGGGGCTCATACTGAAGGATAAGTAAGACCTTATTATATATGATAAAATAACTTTACAGAATGACGGCATCACAGTGTTGACGGCAAGAGCACAGGCCTCAACTCAATTAGGTTCAGTATTTAGAACCGACGATGACGAATTTGTTCCATTGGAAATCAAATCGTACTCGTCGCCAATTAATTCGCCTGAAATTACGAAAACCTCTAAATAAAGACAACAAATAAGACCATGCACCACTTCGCCCAATACGGTTACTTACTCATTTTGGTAATAATGCAACAAAAATTGCAAATAATTTTCATGTAAATGCGTACTTGCCATGAACGCCCGCATATTAGAAGGAGCCCAAACTATGACATGACGTCATCCAAATTTAATAAACTTAATTTATTTCCTAAAAATTTTATTAATTTTCAGTTTTCGTCATAAAAAGCTGGTATTCACACTTTCTCTCCATATAAATGCTTGCTCCCATCATAACCCTTACACATGTTAGGGTCTAAAAGTTTTTTACTGTGGACCAATTTCCATCATAAAACACAAAAATGAGGTTTCTGAAGGGCTTAATATTATTACATGGCAAACCTTACACGAAGCGGGATCCATGAAGTAGATCATTTGGTTCAAATTTGATCTACTTAATTTTTATGTCAAATTACTGTCATGGACAAATTTTCATCATAAAATATTAATATTTTAAGCCTTTGTGGCATGTAAGGGTCTACATTTCCACAGAATCTGTATATGCAGTGGTATCCAAAAAATTGATCTACGGCTCAAAATTCTGTAAGGTTGATTTCTTTGTCTATTTACTCTCCTGAAACAATTTCCATAATAAAATATTGAAAATTATATCTTTTTACCTTATAAAGGTTTAGCTTTCGAAAGAACGCTTGTATGAGGGGAACTTTAAAAATGTCTTTAGCCGAACGAAATTTTTCATACAAATTTAGACGATCGAAATAAAAAAACCGCTTAATAATAGTTGCTGAGAAATTTTGAAAACTTCAGTTTTTTCCGTATAGCTATACGATTGTAAAACTGAACCGAAAAATTTGATTATAAATAAAACCATTATCTAGTGAAACTAACCTTATCAAGCAAAGCATTTCGTAACAATATTAACGCTGTGCTACTAATTGTAACTTTAAGGAGAGTTATTGACGGTTTTGTCTTTCTTTCAAATTACAAGAAAAATAGAAAATTGTTTGTTTTTCATTTTCAACAAAATTAAAAAAATAAATAGCAGTTTGCAAAAGTAAAAAATGAACAAAGTCTGATTTAAATTCTCGCGAACGCATGCAAATCAGAATTTCTTGATAAGGTTCAAATCATTTCTGACTGAAAACGAATCCATTTGAGTTAGGTGTCGTTACTATATAAGTTCTATATTACTATGTTTTTTCAATGCTACTAAAAATTGAAAGAACTACAATCTCTTGATTACTCCAATTTTATTCGAAAATATCAATATCCATACGATTTCTCGTCCTTGTGGTAGATCTCTTTGTTTCCTCTTGTAGAGTTACTTGCGTTATCCTCTCAAGTATCGCATACTCTTCGATTGTTTAAGGTCTTGGCCAAAAAACTGTTCAAAAGCCATCACCTTTCACGTTCAAAATTTTTGATAGGATTTTGTATCATATTCGATATGTCATAGACGATATATTACTTTTGATGTCGCAAATGAAATGACTGAGAAAACATGCCTCGTTTTATTAGTTGTGATATAAAAGTGAAAAATATTAATTCGATAAATGCTCGTTTTATTCATATTATATTTCAATGCTTAAAACGATTTATCACACTGTAGTGAAACCGGATCAGCTAAAACTATTAAATGTTTTTTTTCATTTTTTGGTAATTTTATTCCTTTTTTTAGTATTATTTCATTTATTTATTTATCAAAAATTCCCTATAGAGTAAAAATAAATTTTTACAACAATTTTAATTACTTGTTTAGAGCATTCATATCACTTGCGAGCGCATGTTTACATATCTTTAATATTTGTATACGTTACGAGGTCCGTTTTATAAGTTTTTTGCAAGCCACATAAAACGATAAACTTTTACTAGTGGCGACATTTAATTCCACGTCGGAAAACTTACTTCAGATAACATGTTTTCAGCCAAGCTGCTGATGAGTACACGCTGTTTTCAAGCCACATGTACCGTTCGCGGTGCATGTGTTAGCAAGTTTCATAATTTTAAATGGAAAAAATTTGTTTGGGTGTACAAGAGTAAATACATATTTTTCTAGTTCCGTACGAACAATAACCGGTACACGTCTTAAATAATATTATAAGCGTAAATAGTGTTGCGAAAGCATGTTACTGCGCGTTACTGAAAACTGTCCAAGGCAACGTGTTAAAAAGTTATAGTAAATTTTGTTGTTAATCACACGGTGTTCTCATGCAAATCCTGATTTAAGAAGTTCAAGTTTAAAAAAATTATCTTTTCCCGGTCAGGTCTCAAAATAGTGCATATTTGCTTAGATTAAACCTATCTAAAAATCTAAATGTAACTATATAAACTTTAAATGTATTTAGTTCAATACTCTATCTACTCATCTGCGGTGAGTACCGTTCCAAAACTTGCTCTGAATGTTTGTTACGATCTTCCAAAAGTGTAGAATGCTTAATAACGCTAGAGTTATTGGCTTTTTTAGTCTAAAGGATGCTGTTACAAGACGCCCTTTCCGTCGAATACTTCGCTGAGACCAACTTTGTATCACTGGAACTTTATTTTTAAGTTAACGTAGGTTTTATTTATAATTGTTAAGAAGATCCTTTTTAAAATTATTTACAGGAGTTTATATTTAGAATGCTTATTGGGCTTCTCCGCTTACGATGCAAATTTCTTCACTCGACTGAGTTTGCCCTCCGAAAATATTCTCCTTTTACGAGTAAGTTACAAATATATAACTTCATTATGATATCTTTGTCTTAATTACTTTTTCTCCAAGCTTCTGCTAACCTTCTCGACAATAGGCGACGTTGTCAGGTGCCGGCGGGTAAAGAATCGCAAATCTATAAATAAAATTTCGTTTTTTCATTTCAAGAATTTTTCTTCTGAGAAAATCGGTTCCAGTCAGCATTTCGTAACAAGGTGTCGAGGTATAAAGATATGGTCCTCTTGCCGATATACACAGAACACTGTACATAACTGCGTAGAAGACCGTAGACCCACTCCTATTTAAATATATTGGGAAAGTAAATGATTTTATAGTGTATTTGTTCACATTGACTGCTTGAGACTTTTATGCCTCACGCATTCTTCATTTCTCCACTCTTATACAGCGCGATCTTAATACATTTCTTTTGTCGGCAATGTATAAATAAATAACGTTTATATAACCTTTTTTCAATACTTTACATGTACGACTTTTAAGGCTTATTTATAAAGCAATGAATTCCATAAATAAAGTAATCACCATTCTTCATTTTTCTTTGTAGGTACTGTTTGAAGGAGACGGTAATGCCTTATGATACAAAATCAGCTAAATAAATATTCATAATGAAATCTGATAAATGTATTCTTCCCGTTATATATAATGTATATAGATAGGTATGCCTTTTCAATGATCCTCGTCGCGATTACCTTAACCACGTATATTCCAAATATTTAGTAAAATGTATTTAAATAATTGATAACATTTATTTTTAGATATTCAACAAATAAATATTTTTAATTAACGATAGTTATGATATTTGTTGATATTACTGTAAACATTGTTGTTATTATTGTTGACTGTCGTTCGTTCTGGCTTGTAGATATGGTAACACAAGAAAATAAAAACACAAGTTTAAGCGAATTGATGCATACACGGTTACAATAGAGATTTCAATATAATTTCCACACTGATATGGGGGTGTAATAGTATCAGTCTACATTATAATTCATAGTCAAAATTAAAAATGGAAAACAAAAAAGATATATGCAAATTTAATCTGAATTTTTATAAAATAATTTCATGTTCATAAAAAAATATTAAATAGTAATTTAAAAGGCATTATATTTATTCGCAATTGTATTGCATTTATTCTTTAGTTTCGCTTGAAGTGTGATAAGTAATTTAAAAAAAAAATAAAAAGAAATCCATTTTAATTTGCCATCAATTCATGAAATTCCCCAAAATTTTCATTTTATTCGTCAATTCATGAAATTACTAAAAGTACTCATTTAATCTTTGTAAGGTGCAGGTAAAATATTTCTTCGGATTAGCATTTTGCTAGTTCACCTCAAAAATCCTTCGATAAGATAACTCCGAACTTTTGTAGAAAAAGATATGTCGGAAAGTAAAACTTTTTGATACTTTACCGTTTATTGTCATAAAATAAACTTAGATGGAGTTTAACGAAAATTCGCTGTCAGTCCAACAGGTAAAGACATTAATATAAATATCGGAATAAAATCTGGAATTTCTGGCTAGTTTCCACACGGCTTATAAATAGAGATTTCGTTGAAGATAAGAAGAGTTGAATATTGACATTGAAAGGAAGAAGTCAATCTAATCTACGCTTTTTACGATCTAAAGAATATTAACGAAATAGAAAAACCGAGTTTAGTTAACTATTTGTAAATTAATGCAAAGAATTTCATTACGCAAAACGATTTAATTTGCTTTTTACAAAACGCAACTGTTGGGCAGTGGTCCGATTCATTTACAATTTTGCCGGTACAATGGCAACGTTTCTCGTAAATACTAATCAATTCAGTCCCGAAGATTTGCTTATATTAGTGGAAAGTATCGAACAAATTACTCTGGCCAAACAGATGAAAAGAACACGTAAGCAACAGAAGCGCGCCAAATATTTGGCGAAAACTTTAAATTATTTAGATCAGCAGTATCCAGTTAGATTTAGTCGAACATTATCCTCGATTAACACACCCTTAAATGAGTCGTTGGGTGGAACTATTGAACAGAAATGCCTACAAAGTAGTTGTTCCTGCTACAACATGGATCGCAAAAATTAGGGATTACCTTAAGGAAAATGAAAGGCGACAATCGATTGCTGGAAATGTTTAAACATGAACCGAAGAAATGGTCAATATTGGACTAAACAAACCTAAGACGAAGCCGTCAGCAAAAGTGTATTTCTCGAAAATTAAAAAAAAAAAAAAAAAACCCATACAAGCCAGAAGAGGTGATATTCAAACACATTGTCGTCATGGGTTAAACTTGAGTTGCGTTCGTTGGCCACCCATCGT